TCAGTGGGTTAAAGCCTCTGCCTTTGGCTCAGGTCATGATCCCAGGGTCCTGGGATTGAGCCCCAAATTGGGCTTTCTGCTCCACAGGGAGCCTGCTTCCCCCCTCCCCTCTCTCTGCCTGCCTCTCAGCCTACTTGTGATCTCTGTCAAATAAATAAATAAATCTTAAAAAAAAAGTCGGCTCAAAAATAATTTGCCAAATCCTTTGGAAAACTTGGAACCTTGAAGTTTGGCTAAGTTAGATGATGGATAATTGTTGAATATCTAGATACTTTCCAAATAAGATAAAATGCTGAAATGTACTTACTAAACATGAGTTGAAGTTTGTCTCCTTTGGCTTCTTGATTTTTACAGATGGACTAAAAGATACTTGGTTAGTTTGTGAATGTGTCCTTTGGCACATTGAAATACTGTTTTTTCTTTTTTGAAAAAAAAATTTTAAGATCTTATTTATTTATTTGAGAGAAAGGGAGAGAGTATGAGCCAGAGGGGGTTGGGGGGGGTGCTGGGAAGGCAGAGGGAGAGGGAGAAGCAGGCTCCCCGCTGACCAGGGAGACGCAGGGCTCGATCCCAGGACCCCGGGATCATGACCTGAGCCGAAGGCAGATGCTTAACTGACTGAGCCACCCTGGGGCCCCTTACACATTGAAATATTGCACTGTAAGAAAGCATATGCCTTCAGGAATGACAAAACTGTGGACTCAAAGATTTGCTGACCTAGGGCGGAATGTTGGCATGTCTGCAGTTTACAACTGCTGGCTTCCTGGTTTTACTGGAAATAAGTGTTATATATTCGAATCAATATAAGAAAATGAAACTATTATTACTAATCAGGGTACAGGAAAAAACTCATAAAATATGCAAGGAAAATAGGGTGTGTTTTGGTAGGAAATGAAGGAAATATGAAGGCTGGAAGGAGAGTAATTTTGTCTTAACTTAAGGGTATTTAAAGACTGGTTCAAAATAAGAATGAGGAAAACAAAGGACCAAAATCTAAGCCGGTAGAGAAAGTTGGAGAGGGAGGAAGAGAGAGAGAAAATTGTATCTTGTGCGGGCAAGGTCGTGCAAATCACATGGATTTATTATAAGGGTTTTAACAATGAGCTTCAATATCAGTGTAACTGTGCAGACTAGAATTTGATCTGCTTTCTCTGTTAAAAGAATGACCTTATCTTGGATTATGGTCAAAGGCTTTTCTTTACCTGTTGAGTGATTCACACGGAAAACAAAGATCCTCTATGTTTTACCAAAATGCTGTTGCTTGGAGGTCTTTGATTACTTAGGAAAACTGAGTCTCCTCAATATTAAAAGAGCTAAGCCTTCCCCTCACCCCCAACTGTAGAACTTACTGTTTTTGTCTTTAAAACCTTTTGTTTTCACTTTGGTTAAATAAGTAACAGATTAGGGGCACCTGGGTGGCTCAGTCGATTAAGAATCTGACTTCTGCTCAGGTTATTGTCTTGATCCCAGGGTCCTGGGATCGAGCCCCACCTCCTGCTCCCTGCTCAGCTGGGAATCTGCTCCCCTCTCCCTCTGCCCCTCCCCCTGCTCAAGCTCTCTCTCTCTTAAATAAATAAATAAAATAAAAACAATAAGTAATCCAGTATTGTTTTGTAATTGGGGCTCGAACTCACAATCCTGAGACTGAGAGTCACAGGTTTCACTGGCTGGGTCAGCCAGGCTCCTGCCCTCCTATCTATCTATCTATCTATCTATCTATTTATTGACAGACAGAGATCACAAGTAGGCAGACAGGCGGGCGGGGGGGGGGGGGGGGGGAAGCAGGCCCCCTGCTGAGCAGAGAGCCCGATGCGGGGCTCGATCCCAGGACCCTGGGATCATGACCTGAGCCGAAGGCAGAGGCTTAACCCACTGAACCACCCAGGCGCCCCCTGCCCTCCTATTTAATCAAATGTTCAAACCATTGACATTTTTAACCAAGTTCCCCAAATAAAATTCTAAATTTTACCTTGTCTTCACCATGTATTGCCTTCTCCCATGGTTGAAATATTATTTTATTTTGTTTAATTAATTACTTATTTATGTAAGTAGGTTCCACACCCAACATGGGACTTGACTCACAACCCTGACATCAAGAGTGGCATGCTCTACCAACTGAGCCAGCCAGGCGCCCCAATGGCTGAAAATTTTTAGAATTGAAGCCATAAACTCTCTCTGCTCATATACTGGTCTGTAATTCAGAAAGGTCTTCTCACTGTGTGAGTCATCTTTTTCTACATCAGGAGGTGTGAGAGGCAGGAGTCTAGGATGGCCCCAAGGTTTCTACCGCAGATGTGCACCTGTGTCCCTGCCTCCAGCGTGGGTAGATCTTGTCGGTATGATAGAATGTGAATGTGATAATAGGTGATATTCCAGGAAGGATTTTGCAGGCATAAGTATCCTAATCAGTTCATCTAAAGGGAGTTTGGTTAATGCCCTCACTGTCTGTGATACATTTCTGTTAGATTCCTAGAAGAGCCTTGGCTGATTTGAGGCAAGAATAGTTCCGTATTTGGGGCACCTGGGTGGCTCAGTCATTAAGCCTCAGTCTTCAGCTCAGGTCATGATCCTAGAGTCCTGGGATTGAGCCCTGCATCAGGTTCCCTGCTCAGCTAGGAGCCTGTTTCTCACTCTCCCACTCCCTGCTGCTTGTGTTCCCTCTCTTGCTGTCTCTCTCTCTCTGTGTGTCAAATAAATAAAATCTTAAGAAAGAAAAGAAGAATAGTAGCATGTTAGTCATAATTCCAGTTATTCCTTAAAATGTTCCTTTAGCCAGGATCCCGCTAAGTTAGTTTCCTCTGGTCAGTGACACTTTCTCCGTTTTCTCTTGTTGTTCATGACCTTGGCACTTTGGAGGAGTGCTGGTGAGGTATCTTGTAGAATGTCCCTCAGTTGGGTTGGGATGATGTTTTCTCATGATTGGGCTGCTGTTCTGGGTTTTTGGGGAGAGTCCTACAGAGATGGAGTGTCTCTTTTTTTTTTTTTTTTAAGATTTTATTTATTTATTTGAGAGAGAGAGCGTGCACATGAGCAGGAAGAACAGCCAGAAGAGGGAGAGGGAGAAGCAGGCTCCCTGATGCAGGGCTTGATCCCAGGACCCTGAGATCATGACCTGAGCCCAAGGGAGAGGTTTAACCCACTGAGCCACCAGGCGCCCCTGGAGGGTGGTATTTAAAATAGCAACTCAGGGGACACCTGGCTCGCTCTGTTGGTGGAACTACTCTTGATCTCCAGGCTGTGAATCGAGCCCCACATTGGGTGTGGAGATTACTGAGAAATAAAAGCAAAGGGGCGTGTGGGTGGCTCAGTCAGCTAAAAGTGGTCTGCTTTTGGCTCAGGTCATGATCCCAGGGTCCTGGGATCCAGTCCCATGTTGGGCTCCTTGCTCAGCGGGGAGCCTGTGTCTCCCTCTGCCCCTTCCCCCACTCATGCGTGTTCATGCTCTGTCTCTCTCTCGCTCAAATAAAATCTAAAATAAAAAAATTAAAAAGAAATTTTTTAAAGATTTTATTTATTTGACAGAGAGAAACAGCAAGAGAGGGAACACAGCAGGAAGGAGCAGAAGAGGGTGAAGCAGGCTCCACCATGAGCAGGGAGCCCAGTGCGGGGCTCGCTCCCATGACGCTGGGATCATGACCTGAGCCAAAGGCAGATGCTTAATGACTGAGCCATCCAAGTGCCCCCAAAATAAAAAATCTGAAAAAAAAAATCAAAGTGTTGGCTTTGGCCACTTTGGGGAGTTTACCCAGTTTTAAACTCATTTAAACTTAAATTCATGATGTACACATATTATTAAATTTGTCTTTCTCTTGTTAATCTTTATTACAGGAGTCTCGCTGCAGAGCCCAGGATGGGGGGCAGTGATGTTTCCTAACCCTGTACAGTAATCAGTCACCCACTGGGCTCACGCGCACTTGCAGTGTAGTTAATCTGAGTTGAGAGATGCTATAAAATACACAGCAGTTAAGACTTAGTATGAGAAAAAGACTTAGGAAGGAAAAAAGAATGAGGAGGCTCTCATTAACTTTTTTCGTATTGCCTACGGGTTGAAATGATAATGTATCAGATTTGTATCAGGTTAAAGAAAATCTATTCCTTTTTTGGGGGAGGGGCAAAGAGAGAGGGAGAAAGAACTTCAAGCAGATTCCCTGCTGACCCGGGAGCCCGAAGCGGGACTCGATCTCATGACTTGCAGGTCACAACCTGAGCCAAAATCAAGTTGGGCACTTAACCGGCTGTGCTACCCCAATAAAACCTATTATTAAAATTTGGAAAAAAAAAATCTGGGAATGAAGAAAGTGCTACCCCCACCCTTGCCCCCACTGCTTTGTGAAAAAGTGGATCAATTTTGTTTCTCTTTGCACCATCAGTTCAAGATTTCTCATTTATAAATCTATCTGTTCTTTGAAACATTTGACCAGTTTTCCTCATTAGTCATGGGTTAAATAAAATCTTTGGCATGTAATCTTTCTAGATCAGTTTAAGAATGATTTTTTTTTTTTTTAAGTAGTATCCCATAACATGCCCTTGTTCTCAGATGTCTCAGCCCCACATTCTAGCTTCAGATTTTGCTGCTGGCTTGTCTTTTGCGCACTCTGTTCCTCTTTCCTGGAACACTGTGACGCATCCCCCACCACCAGTGAACACATTCTTTGAAACTCCCAGCCAAGATCCCCGGCTCCATCTTCTGGCTCAACTCCTATCACCCAGTGTGGGGTCCGCAAAAAGGAGTAGTTAGGGTTGTTTGTTGAATTACTGAGTATGTCTTCTGCCTCATGAGCTCCTAGTCACCCTTCAAAACCCCAACCCCTGTGCTCCTATTCCCTAAGCAGAGCCTTCACTCCCTCTCTGGGCTCCTCCAGGCCTGGTGCCTCCCTCTGGCCCATATCTGCTCCCCGTGGGATGAGGAGTGTCTGTCGGGCTCTGCCTCCCCGAGAAAGGGGCCTTCTCAGGAGGGTCCCAGCAGCGTGTCATGGTCCAGAGGGAATTTAACTTATCAAATGAATCACAAAATCCAGAAGTGTTTATTAAACTCGTTTCAATGTAGCACCATTCTCAGTGGGGCAAGATGTTTGATCCTGGGGCAGGAGTCTGAGTCTGGGCTTTCATGGAATGTGTAGAAGTTATCTGGATGGTAGGCAGGGGCTGCTGAGAGTCAGGGACCAGACAGGCAGGGACAGATGCGCTCCTGTTCTTCCTCCAGCAGGTCCCTCCCGGGGCACCAGCTGTCACTTGAAGCAGACTTCCCTCTGGGAGCTGGCCACAGGTTGGCAGATGTCTGGCTTCTCACCCTGGAGGAGAGGGCCATGAGCTGGGCGTCCTGAAAGCAGCCGCTGCCCACCCCTGCCCCCAGTGGATCCCCCCGCTCCCCTTCCGGCTTGCCTGGTACAGGTGGCACACGAGGCTTAGGAGCTGACTTGGATTTTTCAGGGGTTTCTGCAGAAAGCAAGACAGGAAGTCACACAGTCTCCTTTGCCTTCCACCCTTGGCCAACCCATGCCCGGCCCAGAAGGGTGGCAAATGGCCCCATGGCTGGCCTCCTGCCAGGGGGCACACCCGTCATGCTGGTGCTGGCCCGGTGGCCAGAGCGAGGGCTGTAAGAACTCTTACCCCATTGACGACGACCCAGGGCACATACTCGTGGGGCGGCTGCAGGGCATCGGTAAGCTGGGCATTGACATGCAAAAGCTGCATGCCCCGGTCCCCCATTGCGCACTCCATGATGGTGTCCGGGGACACCTCTGGGGCATAGATCTGCAGGCACTGAGGGCAGACAAGGGTGCCTGGTGAGCGGGAGCATTGCCTCAGCTTCCTAGGCGTTGTCTCCCTAGTATTCCCTCCTCCAGCCCCCCCCGCCCCCCCCACCCTCCCCCGCTGCTGGGGCCAAGCTTGTACCTCCTGGGCAATAGGAGACAGTTGGGTCCACAGCACACACAGCACAGGCTTAACACTTACTTGAGTGAACGCCCCCAAGGCAGGGGCTCAGGCTGCTCTTGCTTTTAGAAGACCAGACTCAGAAGACCGCAGCCCCTGACCCCTTACAGGGGTCTCATTTTCCTCAGAGCTTCCATCTGTGCTATTCCCTCCACCAGGAACACCCTTCCACTTCCTTCCCCCAGAATCTTTCCAGTGTTCCCTCCTCCTCTGCCCACCTCTGGCCCCGCTATGACTCTGCAGGGCTGCTGGGGGTGTCCCAGGGTGAGCCTTTTGGGTGGTCCAGATGTTTGACGAATGAATAAGCTATTGGTGTCAATGAGTCACTCCACTGGGAGTTGTTTTTCATAACCCTCCAGAGAAGCAGGCGGGCCTGTCCTGCCATCCCCATACCCCAGGTGAGGATCATCATCTACGTCCCTGCATGTTTCTGTTCATCCTCCAGGAAGCCCTCCTTGATCTACTCATGCTTCCCAAAGATCTTTGTTCCCTTGCTTCAGAGATCGGAGGCTTCCAGAGGGAAGGCCATTTTCCTGGGGCTACAAAGAGAGTGGCGGTCAGGCCAGAACCTGGATCTGGGTCTGTCTGGGGACAGGGAAGATCAGGGTCTCCCAACCCAGGGCCAAGTGAGGGGCGCTGCTCACCGGTTTCAGATTCTTCTCCATGTCATCCATTTCCTCCATGCAGACAATGGTCAGGAAGGCTGTGTCCTTCTCCAGCTGGTCCCACAGGCAGGCCTGTGGGGTAGCGGGTGCACAGTCAAGGGCAGAAAGTGGGCCCAGGGCAGCCCTAGACTGCTCTGGGAGTGATCACGGGTATTCCCTAACGAAGCGGCGAATGAAGTGGTGATTGAAGACACAGAGGATAGGGCTGCTTCCAGTCCCTTCTGAGCCTGGCTTTAGCCTTTCTCAACAATGGGCAGGCCCCCCAGCCTCCGTGCCCCCCACCGCTCAGGTTCCTGGGGGGCCACTCACCTCCACCTTGTTGAGCTTGCATTCCTGCTCCCCATGCTGGCAGGTGAACTCCCACCGGCCGCTGACATTCTGTTCCTGTAAGGCAGCTAGGTGAGTGCTGGCCAGCCCATCAGGTGCCCCCCTCCCTGGCCTAGTGCCTCAGTTTCCCCAGTGCCAACATACCTGGGCATTTCCATAGGGCACCAGTGTGACATTGAGGATCTCCAGCACCATCAGCCAGGTCGGGAAAAGTTCTCGGACCAGGAAGGCCCGGCAGCCGGGGCACAGCGCCTCGTAGTAGAGGCTTACGTTGACAGGAGGTGCTTGTGACTTCCTGAGGGGCACCGGCAGGCACAGGCCCCCAGCCTATGCAGGAGGAAGGGGTGTGAAGGGAGTTTAGCCCTGCTTGGTTCTCTGGCAGCTACAAACAGTAGGTAGTCTATCTTGCACTCTTTCCAGACAAGGCCAGGTGGAATCCTGACTCTAAGATTTTATCGCATCCCTCAATCTTCCTTGATCTCAGTTTTTCTGCAAAACGGATGTGACAAAGACTTGGAAGCAGTAGGCACTTAATTTATGAACAGCTCTTGCTTTCTTTAAGTTGAGGTGAAACCCCTCGCCCCCCAGGTAAATGTATGCAGTAAGGACTCAACACATGCACATTTCTGGTCACTGCTCTCCATCCTGCCTTCCCAAGGTGCATACCACTGGAAACCAATGCATGCTCATTTGTTGCCACTTCATCCCCAGAGCCTTGGCCCTGACCTGAGCAAGGCCCTACACTTGCGCTGAGCCCTTATTTATTCTTCCTCTCAAGGGGCCCAGGTGAACCCCTCCCGAGCCCTGCTGCTGAGGCGGCGCGTAATATGTGCTGACTTCCGGTTGCAGCTGCCGGGCAGCAGGCAGCCAGTGTCTATGCAGCCGTGAGCAAGTGGCTCAGCCTTCGGGGCATCTGTTTGCATCCCCCCCCACCCCCCGCACCAGAAACACGTGAGCTCTTCCCTGGCCGAAAGGCACCCAGTAAGCAGCACCTAGAGGGGCTGTGCCACGGCTCGACTTCTCTGGGCTTCCCCTGGACTCCGAAAGGAGACTCCATTCCCGCCCCAGACGTACACAGCAGAAGCTCAATGCACCCCCGCGTGGGGCGGGCGGGGATGGGGTAGAGGACAGCTGAGAGTGTCAGACGCGAGATGGGGAAGTGAAACGACTCGGCGCGAGGCCACAGTGCTGGGGGGTTTTCAGTCCCGAGCGGAGCAGCGTCCCCCTCTCCGAACCGGTCTTTCGCGGCAAAACCCGGGGAGAGGGGAGGAAGCGCCCGTCCCGCTGGCCTTCCCACCGCGTTGCCGTCCCTACCTTGCAGGCGGCCGCCCCCTCGGGGAGTGTCCCCAGCGGAGACGCCCGCGCCGCCGCGGGGATCTCCGGCGGCAGTAGCAGCAGCAAGAACAGGGGCGGCAGGACCGGCAGGAGTGGCGACGAGGCCATCACAGCGGGGCCAGGGTGCGGAGGCGAGAGCAGCGCCCCGGGAAGGAGCCGCCTTTAACCCGGCGGTGGCCCAGCCCCCGGGCCGGACCCGCCTCCCGGTGCCCACGCCCCTGGGGGCTGGGGCGGGCTATCTCGGTGTCTACTGGCAGGTCTGGGTCCTCTTCCAACCTGGCCCCCATCCGCACTCCCGCCAGGTGCGGGGCCCGCAGTCACCCGGCCGTGGGGCCGCCCTCCTCCCCCTACCCCGCCCGCCCCCTCCAGGCCGTCAGGGCCGCCAGGTCATGTGAGCCTGGGGCAAGAGCAGAGATTAGGTGGCGGCTTCAGAGACAGGGAGACACAGGCAGGCAGACTGAGACGGGTCTCCACGCGCGCACGCCCCGCGGATCGATCTGGGAGCGGCCGGGGTGATCCAAGTCCTCGGTTCCTAGCCTGGGAACCTCGCCTCCCTACCCCGCCCCCTTACGGCGCTGATCCCCTGCTCGATAGTGGGCAGGAACTGCGGCGACCCGGCCCTCACCCACTCCCTCCCCCTTAACCCAACGGAGCTGCCCCGGGCGCCCGGTCCTCCTCTCAGGGTCCTCCGCCTCGACGCTCCAGTCCCACCGAGCGTGATCGCGTGGGGCTGACTCAGGCGTCGTCATTGCTAGACCAGAAAGCAGAAGCCAGCGCGGGGAGGGCGCCTCACTTCTTGGTCCTCCCAGCCCTGTCTGGGGTGGGGGTGGGGGGTAAAAGGAAAGCCGGGCTGCTGCTTTCCAGCATCCAGAGCTCGAGGTGATCGTTGGCGTGGGGTGGGGTGGGGGGCATGCAGGCCCGCAGGGAACTCCCACGGGAGAGGTAAGCCCAGGTTGGGACGAAGCCTATACTGTGCATGTCGGGTAGACTGGGGGAGGGGCTTGGTGATGTGGGACTCAGACCTCCTGGAGTCACCAGGTTTGCCTCGGGATTGCACCAGGCACCTCAAGCGCTGGACCCTCAGCTTCCCCTTCTGTCCGTGGGCACAAGAGTGAAGCTTGGGGAGTGCAGCTACAGGGATGGCTGGGAGGCAGAAGTAGAGTTGCCCCAGGCTGGGGTGGGGGTGGGGGAAGCCAGTGGAGAGGTGTTGACAGCTGAGGGGAAGGCAGGCAGAGAAGGGCCTAGGCGTGGAGGCTGGGGTGGTGAGGGAATAATCCAGATGTTCAGAATTTGCAGGGCCTCAAATGCCAGGCATTACCCGGCACCTGATCCCACGGGAGGAAACACCCACGCCTGGCCCAGATTACAGGCAAGTCCCCAGCTCCTGTCTTCATCCGGTTTGGGGGAAGCCCCAGCCTGCTGTCTAGAGGAGCAGCCCCAGACTGGGGTTTCTAAGTCCCCAGGGCTGGAGGGTCCTGCCCTCCTTTGCAAACCCCAGGTTCTCTGTGATGCGTCTAAGACTAAGCAGCCCAACGGCAGTTAGCCCATGCTTGCCCCGTTGCTGGGCGAGACAGAAGCCGTCATCAGCGGCTAGTTTTCCCAGGGCTCACTAAGCATGGCCCTGATAGATGGCTTCACAAAGGTAACCTCACTCATTGGATTGTCCGATCCTCAATCCTTGAGCGACTTCCCCTTGGGGGGTGGGGGAAGCAGATATTGACCCTATTTGGTAAGAGGAGTTTGAGGATCAGAGGTGGGGGGTGACTTTCCCCAAGGTGACATGCCCAGGCTGGTGGTGGAGGACAGACACCTGTAGAGGCCATATGAGGCCATGTGGGCTGTTGTTATCTTCTGTCTCCAAGCTCCACCGACTGGGGTCATGGGATCTAGAAAGTGGTCTTTACCCTGTGCCGCCCTTGCAGTGGGTGAAGACCGCAGGGGAGATAGCATCCGGGCTGAGGGTCCTCATGGGGTAGCTCCTGACTTGGGCACACAGCAGGGACAGCACTTGGGAAGGCCTGCAGTCTCTGAGGCCAGGGGCGAGGGGGCCAGGTCCTGTCCTTCTGAGATCCCAGCAGAGGAGTAAAGATTAGAGGGCAGCTTTGTTCGTTCACCTCTGGCTGCTGTGGGCATGCTGGGCCCTGATAGGTGTCATATGGGGAGAGGAGGGGGCAGGTTTAGTCTTCTAAGAACGGAAGGGTCAAGACACAGGGACTCTAGGGAGGGGAGGGTAACGAATGTTCCAGGTCAAAGATGCCATGAGGCCCCAAGTCAATGTCCCCCTGGGACCTGGTGGCCTGCACATCAGGGACAGGTATGGGGAGGAGGTCAGAAGAGAGTCGGCAGGGAGGGGTGGCACTGAGGGCATTAAGGACATGGGGGGGCCTCTCTGGGTGCCGGGGGAGGGGTCGTGCTCTTGCCTCCACCCGACCCATGATGCAGCTGCATGTCAGAGGGGAGGGGACTTTCCAAAGGGCCTGGCTGGTGATATCTGAGTGCTGGGACTCCAGCCTGGGGGGCTGGGGCCAGGGTGGGGGGCAGCCCGGGTACTGGTGAAAGGCTGGTGTCTGATGTCTGGGGTGCCTTGAGCAGGCCGTACTGTAGAGCAGAGCTCAGGGTTTGAACCTCTTTGCTGTGTGACCTTGGTTGGGCAAGTCTCTCACCTTCTCTGGTCACAAGCAGCTAAACTGGGTGGTGCTCGGGGAGGGTCGTCAGCCTTCCTTGGCTCCCTGGAATTATAAACCCAGGGGCTAGATGTGTGTGTGACCCTGGGAACGCCGGGGTCCCCAGCACACCGTGGCCATAGAGAAGCCCCCCCACCACCACCAACAGAAGCATCCACATGTTCTGTGTTTTATATCCGTATCAGTATCAACGTACCATACAAAACCGGCCTGCCAGCCTAGCTGGGCAGGCGGGGGGGGGGGGGTCCACGGGCAGTGTAGAAAACCAGGGCTCTCGTCCCAAAAGAGGAGAGAAAAAAGGGCTTTACAGTCAAGAAGAAATAAAATCAGAACCCAGGTGATCGAGGAGAAGCCTTGACTCTGCACGGGGTAGAAGTGCCATGGGCAGCGGTGTGGCCAGGCCACTTCTACTTCTGGGAGGCCTGCTGCCGGGTGGGGCTGGCTCGTCCGTTTATTTTTAATTCTCTTCTTTTTTTGGGGGTACTTCTTGGCAGTGGCCCCTATGTGGGGACGACCAAGTGGTGGTTTCACTTCAGGGTTTGGAGGGGAAGTTGGGGTCTGTGGGGCGGGTCCCGCCCGGCCCAGAATGTCCCGGCCAAGGTGGTTCTTGGACTTGGCCAAGTAAAGTTCCTTCCTGCCGTGACTCCAGGTCTATGGCTTAAAAATTGGGGCACCCAGGCTGGGGCCGCACAGCCCAGGGGCCTCTGTAAACATGGCAGGTGCAGCCAGGTGGGTCTTTGGGGACCCTGGGGAGGGGGGGCCTCTGGTGGGCAGGGCACAGGGTTCAGGATGGCCAGAGGGCAGTGCTTACAGGAGAGGGGCATATGGGGCAGGGGAGGCAGGAGTCCCAACCCAGAGACATGGAGGGACAGAGAGAAGGACAGTTGGATGGGGAGGGAAAGAGACAGGGAGAGACTGAGAGAGAGGCTCAGAAAGAGAGAAATGGAGAGACAGAGACAGGAAGAGACTCACAAAAGAGAGAGGCAGACAGAAAACCCGAAAGACGGAGCCCTCGGTCGGGGGGGGCGGGGGTGGTTTACCTCCCCAGCCTCCAGGCCCTGGGGTGTATCCGCTCTGCGCTGTCCTGCGCCCAGCGCTCAGCGGGCAGGGGGCGGGGGCCCAGGGCCGGGGGCGCGCACCGGGTGGGCAAGCGTGACCGTGAGTGCGTCGTTGTGCTGCACGAGCGAGGCGTGCTGGTAGTGCAGCACCAGCTCCTTCAGCGACCCGTACAGGTTGTAGGGCTCCGCGAAGCCGAAGCCTGTGGCCGTGCGGTAGATGACGCAGTGCTTGGTGTCGCCGTCCACCCTGCAGGCACGCGCAGAGGGGCAGGCGGTCAGGGGGTGGGGGGCGCTCCCGCAGGGTTCCCCTGAGTTCCTGCAGTTTCTTTCCGGTGACCTCTGCCCACGACCCTAACCTGGCCCAGATGCCACCACCTCCTGCCCAAACGCGGCCCTAGCTTCCTCCCTTGTCCCCCAACAATCCCTTCTGCCTCTGGCAGCCATGGGGGTCATGACTCCTTCCCGGCAGATCTTCCCAGAGGTGCAGATCCCCCACCCCTCAGCTCACTCCCGGAGTCCCCACCAGGCACTCACACCACGGAGCAGGCGTAGCAGCCACGTTGGCTGCTCTCGCGGATGAGGAAGGTGCCATCCCGCTTGCCGCTCAGCATTTCCTCGGCTTGTGTCCGGTTGATCTTGCCCACATACCACGTGCGTTCCTCATGGTGGGGCAGGTCGTCCTCATCCTCCATCAGCGCATACTGGCTGTGGGGGAAGCAGGGAGAGGACCTGGTCACTCACCCCCAAGCCTCTGAGGCTTCCCTGCCGCCTGGACAGCGCTCATGGCGAACTCCTACTCATTCTGCAAAACCCCCTGAAAATGGCCCCTCCTCTGGGAAGCCTTCCCTGGACCCCCTCAGGTAGGGGTTCACTTACTCCTCAGTCTCATTTTTGATCCCCAACCACTCGTTGATTTTCTTCTGCCGGGCGCCTTTCTGAGTGAGCCACCTGGAGGAAGAGGAAAGGTGGGCTTGTTCCACACTGCTGGTAGGGGAACAGCAGCCATAGCACAGGCTGACTAGCCCCCAGTGGGCCAGGCTGGAGGCAAGGGGTACGGGGAACCCCCCGAGGGCCAGTTCTTGGTGCAATGACGCCAGTTGCCACAAGGGGTCAGCCTTGGCTTGGTCAAGGAAAGCTTGACTTAGTGTTCCGTGTCTGCTCACTCTTACTGAACCCCCAGAATGCACCATTCCAGCAAGGTCTTATCACCACCAGTCTCACCTGAGGGTTGCATGGCAGTGTGACTTCACACAGGGCAGCTGTCTGTTCTGTACCTCAGTTTCCCTCAGCTATTAAGGGGCAACTTTGCAAAGAACTTTGAGAAGACAGAGTGAGCTCACGTGCACAGGGCGCTCAGCACAGTGCCTGGTACACGGCTAGTACATGTGAGCACCTAAGGCAGGGAGGTTCCCAGCGGGCAGAGGCAGGAGTTGAGCCCAGACTGGGGCTGCTGCAGCCCCAGCATGTGCAAGGGCATCCAGTTAGCATTCACGGAGTCCGTCCTGTGGGAGGCTCCCAGTGACCCAGCCCCAGGGGAGCAGTGCTCCCATGTCACAGACACCTGGGAGGCTGAGACCCACCCACAGGGAGCCCTGCCGAGGGGGCCAGGAGGGACCTGATGGAGAGGGAGGGGGCTCCTGGACAGCTGAGGGGTCTCAGGGGCAAGGTGGGACCACTTGGTGGAGAAAACACGAGTGAGACAGCGGCAGAGATCACCTCACCAGATGTCCCCGAACCGAGGGGCCTGCCGGTGAGCACGGGGCCGGGCACTCACACGAGGTACTGGTCTCGGATCTTGCGCAGCTGCATGAGGTCTGGCTTGAGACTGTTCATGCGCTTGTCGATCTCCCGGTTGTCTGAGGCCTGTGCCCGCAGCTCCTGCTCCAGCTTTGTGCGGCTCTCGTGGATCTCGGCGATGCGAGACTTGAGCCGCTCTGAGTTCAGCAGGATCCTGGCAGAGGGGCAGCTCTGAGGCCTTAGAAGGCTCCTAGCCTCCAAGCCTTGGCACATGCCGATTTCCCTGATTGCTTGCTAGTGAACTCCTATTCATCCTTCAAAGCCCATTTTTATTTACTTTTTAAGATTTTATTTATTTATTTGATAGAGAGACATCACAAGTAGGCAGAGCAGCAGGCAGAGAGAAAGAGGGGGAAGCAGGCTCCTCGCCAAGCAGAGAGCCCGATGTGGGGCTCAATCCCAAGACCCTGAGATCATGACCCGAGCCAAAGGCAGAGGCTCAACCCACTGAGCCATCCAGGCATCCCCAAGTCCATTTTTAAATGACGCCCCTCCTCCTGGAACTCGGGCTGCCCAGTGTTTCCTTTCTTTCCCCACTTGCCTATGCCAGATCAGGTGGGGCAGGGCGGGGAGGCAACTCACCTCTGCATCTCCTTCTCATTGCCCTCACGTCGGAAGCGCTCCAGATATTCCTTGCTACACTTCTCTTGTGTCTGGCCCTGCTCTTCAAAGATCTTGATGGTCTCATTGAAGGCCTCGATAGCTGTGCGCTTCATCTGCAGCTCCTGCGGGAACAGGGGCGAATCTGTTTCTGCCGAGACTCCTGACAAGCCCCTCATGGGGGGGCGAAGGCAGATCCCACCTCTGATACGGAGACTTTGCTCAAGCTGTTCCCTCTATCAGGTGCCTCATTCCTCTAGCCCCTACTATACTCAACAAACTCCTATTCAGCCTTCAGAACCCCACTCCCCAAACTCACTCCTCCTTAGCACTGCTAAGAATTAAAGACAGATCTAGTTGCAACATACAGTTCACGGGGCCTCTCAGGGTGGACGCTCTGCGGAGTACTTTCTATACATCATCTTGTAGAACCTCCAACGCCTCCTACAAAGTCAGAACTATTCATGGGGAAACAGACTCAGGGGCCCTAAGTCACTTCCAAGATCCTGATGTTCATAACCAATCTTGGACAGGCGTCTTGTCCACTCAGAGCCTCAGTTGATCCATCACGTAAAACGGGGACAAGAAAATTTCTTGGGGATAACAGGGGAGACAGAAATATTCTCTGCCTGAGATGGGATGTCTGGTCTGAATAAGCTACATCCCAACTTTTGAAAGGTAATTTATTAAAAGTCCTCGTGTGACAAAACCGTCCTCCCTCTTCCCTTTTTTAAAAGACCCTGCCTTTTCCCATGACCTCCTGACTCTTTGTTTCTGTCAACTCTCATCAGGTTACTAGCTAGCACTTTGAATAACATCTAGGTTGAAGGGCCAGGAGAAATAGACCTGCGGCCCCAGTTTACAGTTCCAGATGGGGAAAGTGTGGCCCAGGGAGACTCAGAGGCTCAAGGAGACACTCCAAGGTCCTGACTTGGCTGTTCCCCAGGGCGTTGGCTGGTGCTTTCTGATCAGTTGTGTTTTTTTGAAAACGTTGATTTCTGTTTGTAGGGGAGTCCTGGGCACTACGTGGCTGCTCTGTGACCTGGAAGCAGATGTCTGTCCCCAGGGCCTCGCCACTGCCCCTCGGTGCCTGTGGTACCTGGGAGGTGCGGGTGTACTCCTCATAGAGCTGGTCATACTCGCGGCTCTTGTCCTGGTACTGCTGGTGGTAGACTTTGAGCTGGGCACCCACCGCCTCCACACTGTCCTCCTTGACAATCTGGTCCTGGGGAGAGCCGATGTGATCAGAGAAGCTGCTGAGGACACTTAGGCCCACGGCTGGAGCTGCCCTCCCTGGCCACAGACCTGCTGGTACTTGGACACGGGGTAGAGGAGCCGGGTGTCCAGCTTGGCATTGTACTGGGCCAGCGACTCATGGCGGTAGTGGGTGATGAGGTCCACAACAGAGCAGAAGGTGAGAGGCTCCGAGAAGCCGTAGTGCCCGTCGCGGTGGAAGACTTTGATCAGCTTGTTGTTCCCGCCTTTCCTGGGGGCAGGAAGGGGGGTCAGCAGCCAGGGGGACCCCCAGCCATCCTGATAACTATACATGTCCCGCTCCCCATGCCACCCCCAGTCCTCCTGACCTGGTAGCCTCCCTTGCAGCTCTCACACCCAGTCACCCCTGAAGGGACAGGCCCCCACCTGAGGGTCAGCGTGTACTCCCCTTGGATCTTGCTAGATGCATCTCGGACCAGAAAGGTGCCATCAGGCGTGTCCCGGAGTTTCTCGTTCACCTCCTCCCTGTGGCGACACCCAGGGTTGGGGGTGCCCGCCCAGAGACCCTGCCCTTCGGGCCCTGCCCGCCATGTGGCCCATCCCCAAACCCTACCTGGAGATGTCACCCCAGTACCACTCCGCGTCCTGCAGGGAGGGTGGGCTTCCCCCATTGGCCAGGCCTGCAAGGGCAGGCTTTGCCTTGGGGGGTTTAGGAGGCAGCGCTGAGGGACAGGAAAAAATGCACATTGAGTACCGACTGTATACTGTGGCCAGCTCCTACTGCAACAGACCTTGTGGGTATCGGCAAGGCCCTGAGTCAACATTGGAGGCTCCCAACAATAAGAGATAATGTGGGTACAGGGGTCACCTGGGGGCGCAACCTCCTGCTCCTCCAGATGTTCCTGAAGCAACTTCTCCACCAGCAGCGCCGGGAAGTCAGGGCTGGACTCAGTCCTGGGGGGAAGGGGAGTGCAGTGGGTAGGGCCTGTCGCGCACCTGGTCCTGCACCGTGTCTGCACGCCTGGGGCAGCTGGACGGGAAAGCAGGTGTAGGGAAGAAGGGCAGATGACAGGCAGGTGTGGGAGACCAACTCCTGTTTATGTATATGCAGCAAGCACTCATACGAACGCACAGGAGTCGAGCACTTGGGGTGGCGGGGAGCAGAAGCGATGGGACACGTACCACCCACGTGTCTTCCCTCTGGTCTGGGTCCCATCACTCTGTCTCAGGCCTGCTGGGGTCTTCCCGGGGCCCAGGTCCCAGCCTCGCTATCCTTTCTGGCCTGCTGTCACAACAGCTCTGGCCTCTTTCCCCCAGGGCCCTGTTCGCACTCCTTTAACTCGGTCTGGACTCCTGCCAGGCAGAGGCTCTCTGTCCTTCCTCCATTTAAAGCCCCACCCCTTGCTAATCGGGCCGAGGCCCCGCCCCCTCCGGCAGCTCACCCGTCGGGCGCGCCCCCTAGCGGCGGCGAGGGAGGGGGCGCGCGCAGCAGCAGCGGCCCGAAGGTGGCGCCCAGAGCTCGCACGGCGGGGCCAGGAGCCGGGGTGCGTCGGGCCACTCGGCCCAGGTGCTGGAGCAGGAACCGCAGCGTGAGCGCGCGGTGCAGTGGCAGCGTCGGGGGCTCCAGCGCCGGCCCCACTGGCCCCGCGGCCTCTGCGGACAGACGGCCGGAGCAGGGTGAGCCGGAGTCGGCTCCCGTCTGCCGCGGCCCCCTCCCCAACCCAGTTTCCCGCCAGGCTCACCCCGCAGGGCCTGGCGTGCCTCGGCCACGGCCTCGGGAGTCACGAGGGGCGCGGGTAGCGCTAGCAGGAAGCCCTTGACACCATCTGTCAGGGCTGCGGAGTCCCACTGCTCCACGTCGCTCAGGGACCAGTCTGCAGGTGCAGGGGGAGCATGTCGGCCGTGATGTCCGGGCCAGCTGTCCCCACCACCCCTGCCCATGGAAACTTCCCCTCACCTGTGCGCGGGGCAGGCAGCTCAGGCCTGTAGAGGGATTCACTGTCTAAACCTGGGGAGAAAGGGGAAAGGGTGGATCAGCTCTACCCCAGGTGGCAAGCCCAGCTTGGGGATGGTTCCTGGACCCCTTGTGGGGCCTGGGATGGCTATTCAACTTCCCAGGGATAATTGTCGGCGGGGGTGGGGGGTGGCAGGGGGGAGGGGAGAAAGATGGTGCCAGAGGGCACAGTACATGCAATGGAGGGTCTGGTGACATTCCCATCCACACCCTAGGAGTCACTACTGCCCCGACTCAACATGGAGACCCAGAGCATCCAAACTAAGCTTCTTTCCATGCAGAGTGTCTGGCAGCCCCCTGAAGGAATGAGTTGCCCATCACCAGAGGTAAGCAAGCAGCATACAGGGGTTGTAAGGGGGCTGAGGCTCACCTGTCCGCTCAATGGCCTCCACCAGCTTCACCAGGATCGGGGGAGCCACATCAGGTGGGGAGAACTGCTCTGGCAGGTCGGGGAGAGTGAGGCCTGGCAGAAGGGGACAGCATGTTGGTGGGGCCCCTGGAAGGACCCTAGCCCCTTTGCCTGGTGGACCTCAGCTTGGGCAACTCCAGGTAGGGTCTGGTCTAAGCAAGTGCCTGACATCTGTACCACCATCTTAGGGAAGCCAAAACCTGGCTGGAGGGGCTGGGAGGGCTGAGTTGGTGGTCAGCAATTTTCTGGGTTAAAATATCAGTTTATACAACTTCAGAGACTAGGTATAGTGGGTTGATTAGTGTCCCTCAAAATGATATGTCCACATCTTAATCTGATTCCTGTGACTATGACCTTACTATGCAGATATAATGAAAGTAAGAATTCTGAGACAAGATCTTAGATTTTGGGCTCTCAATCCAATGACTGGTATCTTTATAAGAAGAGAAGGCCACATGAGGACAGAGGCAGAGACTGGGGTGATGCGGCCGCAAGCCAAGGGACGCCTGGAGGTACTGGAAGCCCGAGGAGGCAAAGAACCATCCACTCTGAGAACCTCCAGAGGGAGCAGGGCCCCGCCGACACCTGGATCTTGGGCTTCCGGCCTCCAGAATATCAAGGAAGCAAACTGTTGCTTGAAGCCATCGAGCTTGTGGGCGTTCAGGAGAGCAGGTTAAGGGGCCTGCCAGGGCTCTGCTGTGCAACCTGGGGCCCAGCACTCGCCCTCTCTGTGCCTCAATCTCCTCAAGTAAGAAACTTGCTCACGGTGTCCTCTCTCCCTCCTCAGTGTGAACAACAGAGTGGTTGAAAAGAATAAAAGGACGAAATCCCTCTGGGTCAGAACACCTCATTCCGAGGACCTTCCTTCATTCTCTAAGTCATCTTGTCTTAAAAAAAAAAAATAATAATAAAGTATTTCCCCCATTTTAACGATGCTGAAAGCCCTCTCAGCAGGTGCCAGGGGCCTCCATGGCCTTGTGTTTCTCGCTCCAACGGGCCCTTTGTGTGCAGGCGCGCTCTGCCTGCCCGGCCACCGTCTAATGCGGCTTGGCCCTCGGCAGGGACGCCCTGGCATAGAGCAGGGGCAAGCCCAGGCCTGCGGGGCGTCCCTGAGTGATGGGCCAGGTGGTGCCTCAAGCTGGAGAAAGGCCCAGCTAAGTCCAAAAGACTGAAGGAGGAAAAAAAAAAAAAAGGAGAGCGAGAACAAGGGGAGAGGAGGTGGGTGATGGGGGGGAAGGCACAGTTCTAAAATCTGCCTGTGATGAGTTTGCAAAACAGGGAGGGAACACTCGTCAGAACATGTGTCACGCCCATTTTATGGATGGGGACTGAGGCTGAGAGAGGGAGCAACCTCCCTCTGGGGGCCCAGGTGACACCGTTCTGCACTTAGCTCCTGGTGTGGGGTTGAGTGGAGGAAACGCAGGCGGCCACAGCATGTTGCTAGGTGGTCCTAGGACCCTGGAGGGGCCGGGCCTGAGCGTGCAAAGGACCAAGGCTTCTAGTTGCCAGATAAGGAAACTGAGGCCTGGGGAGGGCTGGCCCCAGCGGCTGTCACACAGCCCTGGAGGATTTGGAGGGTGGGGCCAGGCAGCCACCCGGAGTGGGCATGTGTGTGGAGGCTGGACGGAGGCCAGGCAGAGGAGGGAGGCGGCTGTTACCAGGGGGAGAGGCAGATTTTGGCTGGGAGCCCGGATGGGGCCGCCTCCTGCTCCTCCAGGCTGAGGCGGGACATAGGCCCCGGCCCTGGAGGCACCAGATGCTGCAAACCGTCGCCTCCATGCCTCCCATCCGGCCCCACGCTGTGGGGCTCTGGCATGACCCTCTTGGGGCACCAGGGTCCCTCTGGCACAAAACCAGGCAGGCCAAAGGTCAGGGCCATGGTGCTTCCCAGGGCCTTGGCCTTCACCGGGGGATGGACCCCGAATGCGTGGTTTGACCCCTTTGCACCTTGGTCTCCCCATCTGTACATGGGGCCTCCCTGGGTTGTTATGAAGGTTGGCGCAGACTACCAGGCACTGGAAACTTGGCCTCCTCCCCACAAGCTGAGCCTCAGTTTCCCTGGCTGGAACCCATGCACTCTGCCCAGCACACAGCAACTTTAGCATACCCTGAGTGCCCTCAATTCTTCCCTCCTAGCACGTCCCTTGGAAGTGTAGATGGCCAAGGACCTTCGGGGAGGGATATGGGGTCCTCACGCTGCATGGCCTCGAGGGATCAGTCCATCCTTTTTGGCCTTGTGGCTCCCTTCATTTTGGAAACCAGGTAACAAAGGGGGTTTCTCAAGGGACCCTATCTGCAAACTGAGGGATGAAGCTAAGTTGAACCTCTGAATCCTACTGAATGTTCCCCACTGTCATCAAAATCAATCCCACAGAGTCCCTGAGGCACAGCCCCTGCTGCCCTTCCCTTCCCACTCCACTGGCTGTTCCCCGAACCTGCCATTACATTCATACCTCATAGCCTGGAGCCCTTCACCCTCAGCTCTCCCCATGGGAGTCTCCTTCCTCACAGCATTTTTCATCACCTAATCACGTCCTTGTCACTTCTTGAACAGGGAGCCCCGCAAGAGCGGGGTCAGGCCTATGCCCCCCACTGTGTTCCCAGTGCCATGAATTGAGCCCAGCCCTGACAGCAGCACAGTCAACACTTGTCAACTGACCAAATGAGCTTATTCCTCCTCCCCTGGAAGACATGCCATTGCCTCACTAGAAAGAAGAGGAAACTGAGGGTCTGAGGGGACCCCGTACCTGCCAGGGCCCCTGCCTGCTGCTCACCTGGCTCAGGGGGCCCATCCCGGGGCCTGGCGGGCAGTGGGCGGGGGCCACGTGGACGAGGGCCAGGCCGGGCCAGGGCTACAGGACCCAGGAACTCGACGTAGGTGCCGGGGAAGTCACCTCGTTGCCGCGTGCGCTCATTGAGGCCAGGCATCCAACCCACGCTCTGTGGGCAGCGCTCATTGCCCTCAGCCACGCCCAGCACCTGCAGGGCCGCCCGGCTCACCACCAGCACGTCGCCCGGCAGCAGCTCCAGGTCCTCCGGCCGCTCCCGGCGGAACGGGTACAGTGCACGGTACTGGAAGCCCTCGGCACCGGCCATGGCTGGGCTGGGTGGGGTCTGGACGGTCAAGCTGCTGCTCGAGGCCCCAGTGGCCCCATCAGCTGGGCCGAGGGCTGGGAGGGTCCGCTGAGTCAGCCTAGGGCACTGAGACCACTATTTCTACTGAGAAGTTACAGGTGACCGTGGGGGTCACTCATGCCTTGCTTCCCACCATTATTCCATGACCCTGACATGGGTCACTCATTGCTCGGTCCACCATTCGTCAGCTGGTGGGAGGGGGTCGGCAGCGTGGTCTCAGCTCACTCAGCCGCTGCGTCCCCCCTCAATCCGTAGGGCAATGCCAGGCTGCTCACTCCCTCACATGGGGGGCCATCGGCGCCCGAGGCTGGCGGCTCTTCCGGCTGCGCCAGACGAGGGGGCCGAGGGCACAGGCTGTCACCATGCTTGGCCAGGACGCCGACCTAGGGGGGAGATGGGCAGGGTGGCATCAGTCAGGATGGGCTCCTCCCACCCCCGCCCCAGAGATGGGCCCCAGAGATGGGCCCCAATACGGGGTCGCAATCCCCTGACTCACTAGGTAACCTTGGGGCAGTCCCAGCCCCTCTCTAGGCTTGTTTCCCCAGCTGTAAAATGGGTGTAACAACAGCCCTGCCTTGGGGGTCCCTGTGAGCAGAGCTTCAAGGAATCTGCCCCAGGCATAATGCATGCTCAGTAAACCAGCTCTTCCTTGCCCCTTTATTACAGATGGAGAAACTGAGGCTCAGAGCTGGAGGTCTTTGTTCGATCACTCAGTGCACCAGGAAGCTAGGACTCAAAGACCGGGATCCACCCAACCTCAAGGCCCAGAATGGATTGCAGGAGGCAGGAGGCAGCAGCCACATGGCCAGGTGGTTATACCCACAGTGGGTGGAGTGTGATGGGGAATTCTCAGGGTACTGTGGGAGCCTGAGGAGGGGCTGGGCCACTTAAGCACAGGAGAAGGCAGTAAGGAAGCAAAGAGGTAGGAAAGCCGGTCCAGGCAGAGGCCCCAGCATAGTCAAAGGACTAAGAAGTGAGTCCAAGGTCTCTGCAGGGGAGAAATGAAGAGGGGGGGCCATGTCCTGGCTTGGCTAAATGAGGGGCCTAGAGGAGGATCTCAAAACATAAGGAGGGGGGTCATGGGAGATCAAGGGGATCTTGGCCCCAAGGGAGACATGGAGCCAGGAGAGCGTGAATGGGAGGAGGGCATCACAGCTGCCAAGGGGGGAGGCTGCTGGATGCAGGGCGATGCTCAAGCCCCAGGAGTCCCAACTTTTGGGGAAACAGCCCACCACAGATAGCATTCCCAGTCTCAGTCCAGCAAATTCAGTTCTCCAGAGAGTGGGTAGTGGGGGAAGGCATGCTTTTTTAGAGGGTAGGTCTTCACAGAGGCAAGGAGACAGCACCGGCCAGAGGAAATAGTCCCTGCAAAGGCTTGACAGCAGGAAGTTGCTTGCCAAGAGTTCAGGTTGGCTTTTATAAAGCCACCAAGTGTGGACCACGCTGGCGCTCGAGTACCAGACAGCGGGTGGGGGCTTTATATCCCCCGACCTCGAGAGCCTCGGAAGGTGTCAGAGCAGGGAGCAGAGGCTCCACATTCCGGGGTGCCCAAACTTACCTGCTTCCTGGTCTCCCCCCACCCCCGCCCCGTCCTCCAAGTGGGGAAACTGAGGCCCAGCGAGGGGACATCCAGGAAAGCGCCTGGATCCGCTTGCCTGCCCGCCTCCGCGCTCCAGCATGCACAGGTTTGCACACGCCCCGGTGTGTGCGCCCGGGAACCAGCGCTCCCCGAATCCAAGAGGCGGGGTGGAGGGGCTAGGCCTGGCCAGGGGCTTGGTGGCTGGACGCAGGGCCCGCGCGCGCTCATGCGTGTTCATATGCGCACGCGGGCCTCCGTGGACCCAGCAGCCTAGCCCGGGCAACGCAAGCGGAGTCGATCCCCGACCCTCCTGCATCCCACTATGTCCCACACAATGCCTGGGTGCCCCTCATTACTGCTCGACGCCCCACTCCAGGCAGGGCCTCCTTCCATTCGGGGCCGCAGCCCCAGCCCCTTATCTCGGCCTGCGAGCATTCCGTTCCCCTCCCACAGTCCCAGGCAGGCAACACCGCTGCCAGGTCGAGCCCGAGGCCTCCCTCCCGTCCCCTGAGGCCCCCAGTTCCCGCGGGGCGGGATGCAGCTCGGCGCTTGCGTTCTGACTTCCACCTCGGCCCCACATTCTGCTTAGGAGCCCCGCATCTGAGCGCACGCCAGCCCAGCCTGCCACGCCGGCCGGCCTGGACTTACCTGGTCGCGGCCGCCACCGCCGCCGAGGCCGCCGTCACACCGAGTAGAGGCCGACCCGTGGCTCCACCGCGGCCGCCGTCGCCGCAGCCCTGGGATCCCCGCCTCCGCCACCGCCGCCGCGGTTCCGAAAAGCCGGGCCCGCCCCCGGCGGAAATGGCCGAGCGCATTCGGGCCAGGCGGGCGAAGCGCGGCGGAGGCGGACCCTCGGGACGTCCGAGTATTTCCGGAAAGAGCCGAACATACTCCCGCGGGACTGTCGGATAGAGGCTGCCACGAGATCGCCGATCATTTCCGGAAACAGCCGAGTGGAATCGGGTCAGCTAAGCCTTTCCCTGGTTCGGCTCGGCTTTGAGATGACGGAGCAATTCCGGAAATCGCCGAGCGCCTTCCAACGGAATTGATGGAACAGAGGCTGAGCCTCCCGACTGCGGAGAGTTTTGAAAAGAACCGAGTGTGCTCGGACCCAGATAGAGGCCCTGGAAGTTTAGATCCACAGGCTGACCACTAACTTCCGGAACTTGCCAAGAATGGATAACTCCAGAGGGCGACTGAGGTGGCCCGGAGCTCAGGGAAGGGACGTCGGGTGGAAGAGGAGCTCACCACAGAAAGCTGAGCTTTTCAGGAAGGCGGAACAGGCCGGCGTTGAAAGCGTTTCCATGGCAGCCTAGAGCTTGTGGGAACAGCTTAACGAACGCAGCCGTGCGAGCGCGAGAACACGCCCAAGAGCCTAGATGTGGATGAGTGTTTCCGGAGATAGCCGAAGACACTCGGGGACGGGGGCGTGGCCAAAGGTTTCTGGTACTACCCAGAGCTCAGGAAGTAACCCAAAACACTAGAGCTGAGCTGAGTGGGGGGTTTGGATTGGGGGGTGGTGGTGGTGGGGTACAGTCCAAGCAAAAACCTGTATAGAAAGGGCACAAAGATGGTTTTTTTATTTAATTAACATAGCTCAGGGCCCCAGATCGGTGTCTGGATGAAGATTTTAAGGGCAGAGCCTATGATGGGTATTCAGGGAGAGGGCAGCAGGAGCCAGGGAGCTGAGAAGGCATCAGGGAGATACCTCATTGGTGAACTCCTATGCAGCCTTCAGAACCCCTGTAAATGAAGCCAGTTTTCACCCGGTCCCCACCGCTCTCTCTTCCCTTACCCCTTCCTTTGCCCCTCACAAATCCAGACACTGGACCTCTTTGTAAATGTGGGCTTTTATTCACGGTCAGCTCCAGGATGGAAAGAGGGAGCAAGTCATGCACAGCCTTGGTCTAGCTCCAACACCAGCCAGTGCTGGGTGGGGGTCTCTGGGAGGGATGCAGAGTGGGCTGCAGTGCCTGGAAAGTGCCCTCACCATGTGGGGCACAGTGATCTTGCCAGGCACCTCCAAATAGGAAATGGAGGTTCTGTCTGACATGCCCAGTGGGTCACATAACATCTTAGGGAAGAAAGCTGGAGATGGGAGTCAGCTGTATCTGGCACCAGACTCTCCATTCAAGCTCCCTTGTCGACTACGCCCATCAAAGGGCCTGGCTGCATGATTTTTACCAGGTGATTTGTGGGACAAGTCTTCACTCCTCACCAGGCCTCAGTTACTTGACTGGAAAATGGGGATGACACCACCACCTGCAGCCTTCTCAAGGCTGGCTGAGGAAGAAGCCACGAGTAAAAGCGTTTGGCATAGAGTAGATGCTGAATAAATAGTCATTGGGATTAGTTTTGTAAACACAAGGAAACTGAGGCACAGAGCGGGAAAGCCATTTTCCCAGAGCCACACATGGAAGCCAAGATTCAAACTTGGGCCCCACTGTCTCTCAGTTGGGTTTTCTCACTTGAATTTCAGTCTAGGAAGGCTGTGACACATGGAGGGACCACCCCCTGCCATGGGGTGTTTCAGACACATCATGGTCAAGGGCTCACCCTGGTGGGCATCAAGCACATGAAATCTTGTGCAGGGCAGACATTCTTCTGCCCTGGCAGTACCCTTGGAGTCCTGAGTCTCCCTCCCAGAGCGTCTGTGTCACCCTGTGGGATGGATGACCCTCTGCCTAGATCTGGCGAACTCCTACTCATCCATCAAAGTCCCAGTTCTCACACCCCCTCCTCTAAGCTGAAGCCTTCGGACTAGAAGCAAACTCTAGCAAGACTGGCCTAAGGATGGAAGCTATGATAGTGAGAAGTAGCTTCCAGAATCCAGTGCATCATCGCCATTGCTTGTTTTGTGGTAGAGGGGAATCAGTTGTAGACTCTCCAAACTGGGCCCAGACAGGTAAGCTTGCCTGTATCCCTTCAGATCAGTGGGTCTTGGGCCAGGATGGGATCAAGTAACACACACATACACAAAACTAAAAAAATACAGGAAACCTAGAAAACACGAACATACATGACTTGTCCAAAGTGCTTCCTTCTCAGCCCAGGGGGCAGCGTCTGCAAATGGGGTCCCAGGTGCAAGGGGCAGTACCCGGGCAGCTGCCTTCACAGTGGCAGCTCAGTCTACCCAGCGCTTATAAAAAGTAATAAATTAGTCGCAGGGATTTGCTGCTATTTACAATGCCACCCTTGTCCCCCATTCCGGCCCCTACAGCCCCTGATCTGCACCAGAACACGAGGGAGGTGCGGTCTCTGCCTTCCAGTAAGGACCGAGATGGGTTCTCGCCTTCCAGGTGTCTTAGTCTGGTGGCTCAGTCTCCATCCAGAAGTCACTTTATGGAAAACACATTGCACAAAAAAAGCCCGACTCCTAGGCCAGGGAGAGGCCAGGTGGGAGGGATCAGTCCTTCCCGGCAGGTCCAAGAGTTCCCAGCACAGCCTCAGCGCCCTCCACGGCAATCTGTGGTACAGAGGTGAGCGGTCCGGTGGCCTCCTCGGGTGGCTCATCAAAGCTCACCTCCTGCACAGCCTCCTGCTTCTTGAAGGAGTCTCGGCGCTCCGACAGGTGTAGCCGCCGCATGACCACCAGCTCTGAGTCTGGCCCGCGGCCGCGGCGCCCTGACTCCCCATCCAGCCGTTCTCCAGAACCCAGCTTGTCAGCTGACTGCCCCCGGCGTAACCGCGGAGATCGGGCTGGCGCTGGTGGGTGCCCGGGGAGGGGTGAGGGTGAGCGGGGTGGGGGCACAGGCACGGGTGGGCAGGCCAGTGGTGAGGGCGGGATGCTGCTGGTAGACTTGCGGCGGCCGGTCTTGGGGCGGGGGGGGCCGAGCTTGGAGGCCAGGCCATGCAGGGAGCTAGGGCGGGTGTGGCCACTGGCTGCAGGAGAGGCAGGGCTGCTGGAGCTCGGGGAGACACTGGGAGGGGACGTGGTGTCTGTGGGGGACAGATGAGGGTCAGGGCCACCAGCTTCAATGTCTCTAGCCTTGAGGTGGGGCTGAGCACACCTGCCAAAGCCTACGTCCTTCCCCATGGCTACCCAGTATGTCTGCTTTTCTTGCCTCCTATTCTGTGTGCAAGTTGTTCCCTTGTCTTGGATATGGTGAACTCCTACTCATCCATCAAAGCCCTAGTTCCTATCCACCCACTTCCCATCTAATGACCTACTTCTCAAAAGGCCAAAGATATGCTCCACCCCATGAAGTCAGAGTGAGCCAGAGGGGTAGCAGCTGGGGTGCCCCGGCCCCCTGGAGGCCTTCCCTGCTTCCCCTTTGGGTTGCCCCAGCCTATTCCTCCCTTCAGCTGAATGCTAACCCAGTGCGGCTGGGGGTGTCTGTGTTTGGCTGTCTCATGGACTGGGGTGCTCAGCATTGGGCCAAGTCACCCTTTCCTGCCCCAGAATGATCTTTCTAAAACTCAGATCCATCTAAAACATGCCCTCTTCTGTTCATACACCCTCCATGGCTCCCAACCTCCCAGCAACAAAAGCCCAGCTCCTTGGCCTGACCCATCACCCAACTTCTTCCCTCCCTCCCCAGCCTTCCCCTGTTTTCACAAGCCTTCTGTCTGCTGTTCATGATGCTCCCTTGGCTGGGGGCTGGGTACACTCTCCTTTGCTCTCACACCTGTCTCCTGCCACCTCCAGGGTGCCTGGAAAGGCCCTTCTGGGGGCCTCATTTCCCACCTCATGTCATTCCCTCCTTTAAACCCAGCTGGCTCCCTCAATGGCCCAGGCACCACAGACCTGAGCTGCCCCCGGGGAGCACACGTACCTGTACCTGCTGGGACATCGGGAGCTGGGCTGCGGCAAGGCGTGGTGGGGCTGGGGGAGAGGCTGTGGGTGGGTGACCCTGGGAGGCTTTCGCTGGACGACAGGGAGTGGTGGAGGCCGGAAGAGAAGCTGCGGCTGGTATGCAGTACAGAGGACTGTTTTGAGATCTTCTTGAAGAGCGACTTCCGCCTGAGGGTGAGAAGCTCTGATGCTTCAGAACCCGCGCTCGCCTCCCCACACCCAGCAGCCCGGGGAGCCGGCCCAAGGTCCTCCACCAACACTCCGTGGAGGGCCCACACACCGCTCACCGGTCCTGCGTCTCCCGCCGGCGGCTCCGCTTGCTCCGGCGCGCCATGCGGCCCTTGGCCACATTCTTCCGGGCGGGGCCCACCTTGATGGAGGTGTTCTCCAGGGCGGTGGTCCGGAGGGCGATCTTGTTGCCGCTCTGCAGGCCGGACAGTGAGGGGTGACCTGGGTGCCTCCCATCTAAGGAGCCATCCACCCACCCGCCTCCTCATCCATCGAAGCTCCCGATCTTATCTACCCACTTTTCGCCTAATGCCCACTACCCGGTGGACCAAAGGTACATGTCCATCATCTGTCTGCCCACGCAATCAGCTGCCCGCCCCCCACCTGCCGGTCCTAGGAGCTATCCAAGCAAGGCCCTGCCTCCTGGCCTGTGCCCGCTTCCCCACCCCCAGGCCTCAGCCCCTAAGGACCCATGGTTTGAGGAAGACAAAGACAACACAGATACCCCCAGCCTCCAATGGTTGAGGTAAGCCAGAGGGAGAGCCAAATGTAGGGGCATGGGATGTGGGGGAAGGGGGACAAAGAAGGCGGTACAACCTGGGCAGAGGGGAGGGGACCTGCAAGGCCTGGAGGTGAGACCAAGTGTGGAAAGGTATGGTTCTGGGGCAAGAACCTCAGAGTCTGGAGCTGTCAGGGGGTCACAGGAGCAAACCAGAGTGTCGAGGTCAGGGGCAGGGGTTCTGGGAGCCCTAAGGGT